TAAGAGTGGGCACTCAAATACAGTAACTTACAGAATAGCAGAGCCCATTGTGTGTTTTGCCAAGGAACTTAAAATACAAATACCCAGATTTGGGACTGAACATAATCTGCAACTTTACCTAAACATACTGATTTGGGAATGCTACATGGCAGATTTTAATAAAAAGAATCAGGTGCAAAACGTTTGTAGATCCATTGTTCATATTCATTTAAAGAAGTGTAGAGCTGGGTAGTTTGGTTAAGTGGTAGTGCAATATCCACAGGTTTAAATTAAAATCTCCATTTCATTTTCTGAATTTAAAGGTGGGGTCATAGTTTGTTTTTTGTGAAGGAAATTCTGATTCATGGGCATACTCATCAAGAAAGGTACAATTAAAGTCACCTGTGAAAGTTTCAGTCCCATACAGTACCTACGTCTTAAGGAAAACGGTAAAAAAATGGTCACGGTATTTTCCTTAGAAACATCAAATCTGTTCATGTTCAGCAAGACGAAAAAGAACTATGGTTGTAGTCATAATAGCTCCCCTTGCTCATAGCTGATACCAACTGCATACCTAGCCATAATTCTGAAGTGGTTTCTGCTGATGCCCACCTTTAGCCAGTGTGTTGTCCAATATGGGAGGTCACATCAGCTAGCTTGCCAGCCTGCCACAGAGCTATGTGTAGTTATAGCAACATTATGATAATGAGTCTGGGTCCATACTGTGTACTTGAACTTGTACCATGTTGGGTGTATGTGTACATGTGAAGATGTCATATTTGGTTTTTATTCTTTACCCACTGATGGATACTTGCAGAACATAGATATCTCTGTTGCATATTGTTGTAACGGATTCCAACTTCATTGTGGGACCATTTCTGTTCGAGTCAAATATTTTGAAGATTTCTGTGTGAGTCTAAATGGCACCTTCTGTTATTGAATGCTGTGTGTATCCCAGGCTGAACCTGGCAGGGGTGAGGTTTGTCAGGGGTTTTTATTAGGATTTTCTTGATTTCAGGATTTTAAATGATCTCTTTTAGTATCACAAGAAATTGGTTAGAACTTAGAAAGGTGTGATGATACATGTAGGCAAACACAAACTTATGTTTCCTGTGGACTCTCTACATGTATGCTCATGTGGGCCGCTTTAAACCTCTGATGATTGCTTTGTGGATATTTCATTTTCCTCCAATCTAACCCCTGACCTTGATGCAGGGAACAACTTGCAAGTGATGTATTTTAAATCAATACAAAAACATTTGAGAGAATCTTTTTTTAGAAATAAGATCATTGTTGTAGACAGATAACAGTGTTGGGAGTTATAAATAGGAACCACCTACAAGCCTCTTTGGGTAATGTATGACATGATGACATGTAATATTTTTTTCTTGTATTAGAAGAGTCGTGCTGGCCTTGAAAGTAACCAGACTTCAAGAGGTACTTTAGCTAAAGAGGTGAATATTTATCACACATCAAAATTGGCATAAATACTAGTCATTGTCTAACAGAATACAAGTGTTTCATAATCCAAGTCATCGCTATGGTAGGATAGCACTAATCTAAGGGCAGGATCATTTCCTATGCCTTTATCATACTTAATGGCTCTATGATAGCATTTTGTAAATGTTATTAATGTAATGGAAATATTCTGCTTCTTTGTTCACAGCAGCAGCAGCATGCTATGCTGGGAGTACATGCCTCTGCTCAATCTATCATCAACTATGGCAAAGTGGCTCGAAAGCATAATTTGATTGGACCGGCTCTTGACTCTCTCAGCAGGTAGAAATAACTTCTAAAATTAGCTCCTTTCTCTGCAAGAGAGCAGTGGAAAGTCAAAAGTTTTGTATTGTCAAAGGGTCATACTGCTCCGTGCATATTTTTGCTGAAGTCTATTTCTCAGGATGGATTTGATCAAGGAGATGTTAATTGACTTTGGGAAGGTTTTCTTGCCCTCCCAGACTTTATTAATTTTAGCACTGTATACTCAGTGAAAGCTTGTGAAAAAAAAACACCACAAGCGTACTCAGGTGGGACTCGAACCCATCACCTAACCACTCGGCCACCGAGCTTGCCGATGTCGGCTGGCTACTTAGAGTCAGATGTTTGTAAGGATGGATTTGTGCCAGGGAGATGTTAATTGATGGATTTTTTGCCCTGCCTGACGTGTATTGTGAGTTCGAGACCCATCCGAGTAGGCTTGTAGAATTTTTTCACAAGCTTTTGGGAGAAACAGTGAGTATACAGTGTTAAAATTAATATGCGTCTGGCAGGGCCCAAAATCCAAAATTCAATTTGTTGAAGTCACTAAGCACTGTGCTCCCAGTGTATGATAGTATGAAAACCAAAGGATAGGTGTTATGATATAGTTTCATGAAATGAAATAGAAACAATTTGATTAGTACTCTGGGGATTTGACTCTTCAGATTGTTAGATGGTTTCAATGACTGTGGTTGCAGTAGCTGTGTGAATTTGTGGATGGTTGGGACAGGCAATAACTTCCATGTAGACCTGTAAGGATAAACGGACTGTTGCACTGTCCTGCATAGGATGCAGAGTAGGTTTATGTGGACTATAAATCAAATGACACAAATGTATAAACCAGCAATTAGTAAAAGATTATTTCAGAAGGAGAAATTAGTTGTCAGCGGTTAAACTTAGTCAAAAGTGCATTTTTGTTTCAAGGTCTAGAGAAAGATTTCTTACAAAACATAGTTTCTTAAACCTTATTTGTAAGAACTGTTGTGGAATAGTATTCATCAAAGGAAGTACTAAGATGAAATCACTATCAGAGAGCAATTTTTATTAGAATCATTGGTGACCATGGTGACCCAAAGAGTTGATTCGTGATGTACTTTTCAGTTGTATGCTAATATTGCTAACAGGGTCATAGTTCCTACTTTACATTGTGATATGCATGGCTGCTGGTAATCAGAGATGCAACCAACCTTACTAGATTGGTTCTCAAAAGTTGAATAGTCAAACCATCATGGACAAATGATGGAGTGTAAGTCAGATGTCAAATACTAATTGGCCCATTGCAATGAAGAGAAGGACTTGACAAGCTCTGGTAAAATTTGGCTTTGGATTGTTTTGATTACATTTTTCAGAGTGTTTTAAAACAAACTGCATATTTCCAATTCTGTAATTCTAGGAGAGTAGTAGCGTGGTTCTACTTTTCATTCAGATATTACTACTGCCCCCTTCAGTGAGTCCTGTATTGGACTAAAAGTAAGCCAGAGTTGATACAGTGGTACTGATGACCAAAGTGAATGCATTACATGTAATGAGCTGTCTTTCTGTACAGGATCCACACCATACCCAGTGTGCCAATCGTAGACTGTTTCCAGAAGATCCGTCAGCAGGTCAAATGTTACCTCCAGATGGCAAGCACTATGGGTAAACAGGAACTGCAGGAGGGCTTGGAGGTTATTGAGTCCACTAACCTGAAGTTCTTCACCAGAGAGATGACTGCTGAATTTTATGCTCTCAAGGGAATGTTCCTGGCTCAAGTGGGCAGGTATGTGTTCACCTTTTATCAATGGCAGTGGCATTCATTTGTGGGATGACATAATGAGCTGATATCTTTAGTGCATTTCTCTACCAATATGTGTTTGTCCTGTCAAGGTATAAATTAGCCTTTAGTCAAGGCACACGTGGAACAGGTGCACCATGGATGCTCGGCTGGTAACACAAACTTAAAAAAGACCAGCGTGAGTGGTTAAGTAACGAATGCCTTAACTTTTTCAATAATTTGTCAAAATGAAAAACTAAGATCCATTATTTTTATACTTCTAAGAAGATAAAAAGTCTGCATTTAAGACTCATTTTGTGGTTTTACCCATTTGGAATTAAAAATTTGTAACCAAATTTTGTACATGGGATAAACAGAAGTAGCTGGATTTTGAAGTGTGTCATTGTGGTGATTATTAATTTTGAAGTTGGCAGAAAAAGTCCACTTCATCTTCCTGTATTTTTTAATACTCCTGTCCAGTTTTGACAGAGCTTCCAAAAAGTTGACAGGGGTTGGAACCACTGGTGCTCACCTGCTTTCTGTTCATGTCAGTGAAATATAAGATGAATTAAATTCCACTTTTCTTGACATTCTTTATATTTTCCAGTCGTTCGGATGAAGCTAACAAGGCGTTCTCTGCAGCGGTTCAGATGCATGACACTCTAGTCAAGGCGTGGGCATTATGGGGTGACTATCTTGAGCAAATCTACTGCAAAGACAGGTGAGTTTATTGGTATTAAATTCTTATCATATAATTCAGAGCTAAAGGTGACATACCAGTACAGTTGGATTAACTTCCATGTTCCTTTTGATCAGAATTTGCAATACAGTGGTGTTCAAAATTATTTGAACACTTGGCATAAGGTACTTAAGTTGCTTGTGATAAAATGGCAGTCAATATACCCATTAACCCTAACCCCCTAGGGTGTATGTAAAATCGTATTGAAATTGGTCAATTTGGGACTGTTAGGGTTAAAGTTTTTGTATACATGCAAATTATTGGAACACTTGGCACATTAGGGACTGAAGTTGCTTCTAGTGAAATAAACCAGTTATCTTATGTTTTCAAATATATGGACGTATTATCCAGACAACTCCAGTATTCAGCTATTCGTTTACCCCTTGCTCATCGTTCTGCTTTTTTTTAATCCGAATCTATTGCAGTGCTATTTCCATGCATTAATTGAGATTTGAAGTTCTTCATAGTGAAGGTGGCAGGTACAGGTAATAGGTTTGCAGTAGCACCATGCAAAATATCTCTGTAGTGAGTACATGTATGTGTGGTTCTGATAGGAACCAGAGTTTACTTAACGTTTAGGACAGTATGCTCTGTCCATCCGTCAATGGGAGACTGGCTGGCAAGCTTTGTAGCAGCAACACCCTTTTGTCTACAACGTATGCTTAAAGTTTTGAACACATTATGAAAATCCCCTATTTAGCAGAAAGGGTACGAAAAGCCATCCAAACCTAGAGCACAGATCACTACAGCGTGAACATGAAAAGGGCAAATGAAAAAGACATGAATTGCAGTCCGAGCTCTGTAAAACAAACTTTGGACAGGTTTATGGACACCAATTTATGCCAACACCGTGAGAGAGGAAACGGAGGAAGAAGGAACTTCATAGAGACATTACTGTAAGTCTTGGAGACCAAAGAAGAGGCTCAAGGGAGCTTTGAGATGACATCAACAGCATGCTGGCTGATGATGTTACAGTTTCTTCATCAACAGTGCATTGGAGGTTGATAGAAAAAGGACTTGTTGACAGAGTAGCAGCTGAGGGCGAAGAATAGAATGAAGTGCCCAAATTTTGTGAAGAAACTCAAGCATTGGACAAAGGAGGATTGGTCTCTAGTCTTATAGACTCATGAATCTAAGTTTGAATAGTTTGGAACCAAACGGCAAGTGTGCGTACGCAGAATGTCAAGTGTTCAAATAATTTTGCATGTGTATTCAAGCACTAATGTCGGAAATAGAAACATTTCATGTATATACATTATATATATATATACTGTACTGATTTCCACTCCATCACAGGGAACTATTACGTACGTGTACATTGTACACGTACCTAAAATATGCCATGTTCAAATAATTTTCCACACCACTGTACATGCATGCATGCACTTTTTTTATAAAGTATTAGGGCACAGCTTACTGGGTTCTTAGGTACTAACTTTTGTAACTCTTGAACACTAGTTGTATCCAAATATCTTACATCTCGCATTGGTCTCACTTTCCTTGAAGCATTTCATTGAATCAAATGTTTGATTTCCTTGATTCCCCATGCAGACAAACCCAGGTGGGTGTTTCTGCTATTGTCTGCTTCTTGCACGCGTGTCGCCACCAGAATGAGACCAAATCTCGCAAGTATCTTGCCAAAGTCTTGTGGCTTTTGACCTATGATGATGACAAGAACTCCCACCAATTGGCTGAAACTGTCGACAAATACTCTGTTGGAGTGCCTCCCATCCAGTGGTTACCATGGTAACAACATTTCACTTTGTATTATTTAATCTCATTTCTCTGACATTCAAAAATAACCACCCCGAAAAAATAAATCAAACTTTATCCACTTCAGAAAGTATTGCTCGGCATACATATATGCTCTTGCTGCTTTAATCTATTAATTTAACCCTCCTTTAGTTTCAGCACAAATATACACAAGTGTCCAAGGTCACTCTCTTGCATGTTGGTGCAGTGCACAACACGACACAGCTGTGCTTCTTTGAGGTGTTTACCAAGTGACCCAAAGAGTGACTTCAGCATAGGAGGGTTAATGGATATTATATTTTACGTGTATTTTAGACTTAATTAAGTGATTTTTATGTGAGTCATACATTATGGAATTCCTATGATAATTTTTTTCTTTATGATAATTGGCTGAATAGATCAATCTATCTGTCCAGTCTATCTTATATAAAGTGCAACGGCAATCATAAATACCCATTAGCCAAACAAAATAATAGTTGTGCTTCCTATTACATTAAAACAATCAATTAAGCCTGTTTATGGTGGTATTTTGCAGGTGTGGGGAATGTTCATGATGTAATGCATAGAGAAAATGAAATGCAGTGAAATGTTGACACATCCAAAGAAAACGTGTTTGTTATTTTGTCAGAAAAATAAACGTAAAAATAAAAATAAACCAAAGACACCACAAAACAACTGTGCTATGTATCATGTTACATCTACCTGAGTACCAGTCAAAAATTGAACAAGCTCAAGGATACATTTGTAAATAGCCTGTTTTTGATGATTCTATAGTACACATATGTGTGCTTTCAAAGATCATGAAATCTGTTTGTGTGCTGAAATGATATGTAATTGGTGTACTGCAGAAGACTGATTGCAGTAGTCATTGTGGGTTCATTTTGCCTGTAATTGATTGATTTGCAGGATACCCCAGTTATTGACATGTCTTCTTGGTGCTGAGGGAGATCTTATCATCAATATACTCATGAGTGTCGGTAGAGTCTATCCTCAAGCATTGTACTTCCCAATCAGAACTCTCTACCTAACATTGAAGATAGAACACAGAGAGAGATGTAAGTACAAGTATCCATTGACACTGTCTTCTGTCCCCATCCATTGACACTGTCTTCTGTCCCCATCCATTGACACTGTCTTCTGTCCCCATCCATTGACACTGTCTTCTGTCCCCATCCATTGACACTGTCTTCTGTCCCCATCCATTGACACTGTCTTCTGTCCCCATCCATTGACACTGTCTTCTGTCCCCATCCATTGACACTGTCTTCTTTTCTCTGTTCTTGTTATCATCCCATTCATTGTTTTGTCTTTCTGTCATCATAGATTACATGCCTAGCTGAATATTTTACATGCTGGATTTATTATTGCCCGAGCTGTGAAGCATGTGCTGTCTTTGCTTTACATACTAGACAACTTGCAACTACTTATCAGAAACAACATATTAGTAGTTGGACATCTAATGCAAAGGATATCCTTTTGTGAAATCTGTAGTTTATATTCAATTTTGTTTGTGCAAATACAGTTAAAAGTGGGGAATACTTGGGAAGCCTACGCAGGAGTTCCTCTGTAAGTAAAGCAGGAGACAGCAGTGTGCAAACACCTGCTACATCTACCACAGCCCAGACTGCTTCAACTACATCCACATCTAGTGTCACTACCACAAGTGCATCAGGTAGGACTGGTTGATGGGATGTTTATTAACTTTGAATAGGTTCAATGTTCATCCTGTTTTGGCTTTCACAAACCAGCGGAATGTTAAATGTAATATCTTGGAGAAATATTAGAGACCCAACTGACCTCTTCACATCATTAACAGGAGAAGTGAAACATATCGTTGATGTACAGAACCTATGGGAGGGGTCTCACAGTGGCAGCGTAAAAAAAGATATATAGGAGCTCTTAGGATCATTGATTACTGAAATGTTCTGATTTCAATTTAACCAACAATGTGGCATGTGTACAGTGATAAACAATGTGGCATGTGTACATGATATACAGTGATGTGT